TGCTGCTGCTGCTGCTGCTGCTGCTGCTGCTGCTGCTGCTGCTGCTAGTTCTGCTGCTGCCGACGAGGACAGCAGCGCTGCTGGTGCTGCTGGGACTGCAGCTGCTGTTAACGCCGGCACGGCTGCTGCTGCTGGCGGGCTGAGTCTACGGCGGTTGCTGCCTCCATTCTTGCTGCTGCTGCTGCTCCGTTTTTCGAATCTGCTGCTGCTGCTGCTCCGTTTTTCGAATCTGCTGCTGCTGCTGTTGCTGCTGCTGCTGCTGGCAGTCTTGCAAGCCGCGCTGTGGGCTCAGCGGCGGTTACCTAAGTGCTGCAGCAAATGGGTACCGATCGTTGAGGCTGCTGCTGCTGCTGCACCTGTTTGCTGCTGCTGCTGCTCCTACACCTGTTTGCTGCTGCTGCTGCTGCACCTGTTTGCTGCTGCTGCTGCTGCGTTGCTTCTGCAGGTGTGCACTTGATTCTGGAAGCCGCAGAAACCCTCATCACTAAACACAGGGGCCGCGTGCAGCTGCTGCTTGGTGGTTTGGCGAACTGGAAGGACGGATACGCTGCGAGGTTAGGGTTTAGGGTTTTGAATCTAGGGTTTAGGGTTTAAGGTTTTGGATCTAGGGTTTAGGGTTTAAGGTTTTGGATCCAGGGTTTAGGGTTTAGAGGTAAAGATGGCGGGAGCAGGACCTTGACAGAAGGCATGAGGAGGAGTTCAGCTCTTTCGATCAGAGTGGCAAAAGGGTACTGCTTAGGGTTTAGGGTTTAGGGTTTAGGGTTTAGGGTTTGGGGTTTACTGATTGCAGGTGCGCTACGAAGATGATGGAGCTGCGGTGGAAGTACCCACAAAGCTTCTGGGCGGATCCAAATGAGTTCTTCACCAAAGGCAAGAACTTGCTAAACCCTAGGCAGCGAATGCGGCAGCTGGCCGTCCAGCGCAAACCCTAATTTAGGGTTTACGCCTGCAGAGCAGATCCCTGCAGCCCAACGCCACTTCTTGAAGCCCAGGGCAGCCAGTTTCGGCGGCGGCACGCAGCACAGAAACATGCACCAGGTGGAGGGTTTAGGAGACACGGCTTAGGGTTTAGGGTTTAGGGTTTAGGGTTTAGGGTTTAGGGTTTAGGGTTTGCGCTGCAGGCGCCCACGTAAACTACGGGGCTGACTTCGGCCTCATGCCTTCGGCCTTCGAGCCGGGCGGGATCGTCCAGCACGAGTTTTTCATATCCGGGACTCCTGTTATTGGTAAACCCTAAACCCTAAACCCTAAAACCCTATGCCCTAAACCCCAAAACCCTATGCCCCAAACCCTAAAACCCTATGCCCTAAACCCTAGGCGCTTCATAACAAACCCTAGGCACTAGGCTGCGACCTGAAACCCTAAACCCTTGTCCTCTCTAGGCTGCTGACACTAAACCCCAAACCCTAATATAGGGCCTTACAGGCTGCCGGCCTAAACCCTAAACCCCAGGCTGCAGAAACTAAACCCTAAACCCTAATCCTCCTTGTGCATTTAACGCGAGTGCGCACGGTCTGTTCGCCCCTTACAGGGCAAGCCGCCAACGCTATCGAGCCACGGATTTAGGGTTTAGGGTTTAGGGTTTAGGGTTTAGGGTTTAGGGTTTAGGGTTTAGGGTTTGCGCGCAGCGTTTCACACGGGGGGCCTGAAAGACACGGTGGTGGAGTTTGTCCCCTCCACTGGCACAGGAAACGGATTTTGTTTTTTGAATTATACTTCTGGCGATTTGCTTTACGCCATGGAAAGGGCCATTAGAGTATTCGAGTCCGCAAACCCTAAACCCTAAACCCTAAACCCTCGCGCTGCAGCAGGCCGTCCGCGGCTCCGAAGCAGCAAAGCCCCTGGCGATCCCCTAGGGGGCTGCTGCTGCTGCTAGTTGAGCCTGCTTGGAGCTGCCGGTGTGCCGGGCCTGGGACTGAGGGTTTAGGGTTTAGGGTTTAGGGTTTAGGGTTTAGGGTTTAGGGTTTGTGCAGCGACAAGGAGAAGTACGCGCTGCTGCGGCAGCTAGCCAGGCGGTCTGTAGTTAGCTGCGAGTCCAGCAGCTGGGCCTGGCTTTGCGAGTTTGCGCGGCTGCGCAACAAAATGCCCATCAACGAGAACAAGGTGGGTTGGCTAGCCAGCTAGCTAGCTGGCTAGCTAGCTAGCTAGCTGGCTAGCTAGCTAGCTAGCTAGCTAGCTAGCTAGCTAGCTACGCAGAGAGGCAGCTAGCCACCTCTCCCTAGCCAGAGAGCTCGTCAAGTCAGCTGTGCAGTGGCTGGCCAAGCAATTCTTTTGTGACAAGCTAGCTAGCTAGCTAGCCAGCTAGCTAGCTAGCTAGCTAGCTAGCCAGCTAGCTAGCTAGCTAGCTAGCTAGCCAGCTAGCTGCTGCATGCGTGCTGCTGCGGCTCGCTGTTTGCACAGGTGCAACAAATCTACGAGAGGCTCCCCGAGTGGTCAGAGGGGGCCTGGAGAAAAAGAAAAGACCAGCTAGCTGCTGCTGCTGTGGGGCTGCCAAGCCCGCCTGGCAGCAGCTGGGGGGCCCCACAGGGGCAGCAGCAGCAGCAGCAGCAGCAGCTGCTGCTGCTGCAGCAGCAGGCGGAAGCGGCTGCAGAGTTCTGGGCGCTGCCCTCCTCCACGGCGAACAAGGGGCGGCGGAAGACGAAGCTGCGGATCGACAGCAGCAGCAGCAGCAGCAGCAGCAGCAGCACGAGCAGCACGAGCGAGGGAGAAACGCCGCAGTCGCACTTGTCCAGCAGCAGCAGCAGCAGCAGCAGACGCAGCAGCACAGACACAGCAGCTAGCCACAAGCCAGCTAGCCACACAAACCGCCCCAAAAAGCTGCTGCCCAGCACAATCCGTTATATGCCCCCTCAGGGAAAGCCCAGGCCTCGTTCTGTGGCCGTTGCCGGTAAACCCTAAACCCTAACCCTCGCAAACCCTAAACCCTAAACCCTAACCCTCGCAAACCCTAAACCCTAAACCCTAGTGCTGCAGCGGGTCACTGGCAGGCGCGAAGCACGCAGACTAAGGTATCTGCTGCCGGCTAGAACTCTGCGGTGTGGGGCCACATATTCACGGTTGGGGGGGTTGCATTTAGGGCTTAGGGTTTAGGGTTTAGGGTTTAGGGTTTAGAATTAGGGTTTGCGTCCAGGGAGCTTCGACGACTGGCGCGTCAGGCGGCCTCTGACTTGGGACAATGCAATTCAGGCATTTGCAATATCTCTTGCGCTGCCTCCCGGAGAGTGCGTCCAGGGGATGAGGGTTTAGGGTTTAGGGTTTAGGGTTTAGGGTTTAGGGTTAAGGGTTTAGGGATTAGGCTCAACATTAAGAGAACAAGGCCTATGGATTCGTCCCGTTTTCGCAGCTTATTTGCTGTTCGGGAGCCTAGGGCGCTTAGCCTGCGCCCTAAGGCTTTAGGGTTTAGGGTTTAGGGTTTGGGGTCTAGGGTTTAGGGTTTGGGGTTTAGGGTTTAGGGTTTAGGGTTTGTGGGGCTGCGCAGGTACACGTACAAGCTCGTTGTTGACGGGGAATGGGTTTGCTGCCACGACTCCCCGACTGCGAGAGACCCTGGAGGCAACGAAAACAACATTTTGGTTGTCGAGTGACAAGCCGCCTGCAGCTAGCTAGCTAGCTAGGTAGCTAGCTAGCTAGCTGGCTGGCTAGCTAGCTAGCTAGCTGGCTGGCTAGCTAGCTAGCTAGGTGGCTAGCTGGCTAGCTAGTTAAGTGGTTGGCTAGCTAGATAGGTAGCTGGCTAGCCAAGCGGCTGGCTCGATACGCGGCTGGCTGGCCAGCTAGCCAGCCAGCTAGCTAGCCAATGGCTAGCTAGGTAAATGTTTCAAACGTTCCGCTTCTGTCGGATAGGCCTTGCGCAGCGCCTTTGGCTAGCTGGTAACTAGCCATTGAGCAGCTAGCTGGCTAGCCAGCTGGCTGGCTGGCTAGCTGGCTGGCTAGCTAGCCAGCTAGCTAGCTGGCTAGCTAGCTGGCTAGCTGCGCTGGCCTTTTAGAAATAGAGCATTCCAGAGCATGCAGATTAGCAGCAGCATAGAGACAATGGAGGAGGCAGCAAATGCAATTATCAAACAACAAACTGTCTCCACTTTTTGCAGCTTTAAGCAGCTTCCACTTTTCTAGGGTTTACGCGCAAGGGTTTGGGGTCTAGGGTTTAGGGTTTGAGGCCTCCGGCTCAGGGTTTGAGGCTAGCGACCTAGGGTTTAGGGCTCAGGGCTTGGGGCCTAGGGTTTAGGGTTTAGGGTTTTGGCGGCCTAGGGTTAAAGGCGTGGAGTTTGGCGCCTGAAGTTCAGGGTTTAGGGCTCACTGTAGAAGCTTTGCAGCCGCAGTGTGCAGCTTCTTGAGGGTTTAGGGTTTAGGGTTTAGGGTTTAGGGTTTAGGATTTGGGAGCTAAAAGACAGCAGAACCGGCTTTCGAACTGCTGCTCTCGGCACTGTCTCCCCTGCTGCAGCCTTTTGCTGCAGTGTGTATTTGCTGCTGCTTGCACCTCGCTGGCTAAGCAGCAGCAGCAGCAGCAGCAGCAGCTGCTGCTGCTGCTGCTGTGGCAACGGGGCCAGCTCTCGGACTCAGCAATTGTATTTCTTTTGTCTTCTTTTGTTTGTTTCTTTTTCCAGACTTTGTTTGCCCTTTTCTTCTCTTCTTTCCTTCTTTTCTTTTATTTGATTTTCTCCTTTTTGCACTTTCGGTTTTTTCGCGAGCTTCTCGCCGTGTGGGGCCCCACACCTGGGGTGTACGTACACCCCGTGGCCCTGGGTCCCGGGGCCCCGGCCTCTTCTGCCGCGCATGCAAATCAATTTAATTATTTTGAGTTTTGTGATTAACAGCGAAGGTGGCTGGCTGCCAGGGGGGAGTTGAGTTGCTTAGCAGCAGCTTTTAAGAAGTGCAAACAGGGCCAGGGCTGGGCTAGGGTTTAGGGTTTAAGGTGTAGGGTTTTGCCAAACCCTAAACCCTCAGGCCCGCTGCAGTGCTGCAGCAGCTGCTGCGCCCCCTGGCAGCCCCGGGCAGCAGCTGCTGCAGCAGCTGGCAGCAGCTGCAGCAGCAGCTGGCAGCAGCAGTTATTATTTGGGGGATATTTGGCTGGGGTGCAGAAGAGCTGGTGGGTGTGCATGCAGGGCGCGGAGCGGGAGGGGGGCGGTTTGGGGGGTCAAGACGACGCATGCAGCTGCAATTGGAGGTAATTTTTGGATTATTTTTTGTTTAAAAAGTCAAAAAGTGCAGAATTAAAAGAGTTTTCTCTGTCTTTTTGCTTCGGAAGAGCTGCTGCGGGCCGGCGTGCACGGACACTGCAGGCACACCACTGGACCACAGGGGTGACCTGGGGTGCTGGTCCGGAGGAGGGCGTTTTCGGGAGTTTCGGGATGAAATAGGGTCTGTAAAGGATTTATTTCGCAATTAAAATGCGAATTTGGCGAAAAAAAACTAAGAAATAAAGCTATTTTGGCCCGGCGGCTCGCGGCAAGCAAACAACCCCTCGCAGCAGCGGGCGCTGCGTGCTGCCACCTGAGCTGTCTGTACACCTGAAACGGCGCAGCGCCAACTGCGGGTTTCCGCGGCTTCTTCGATTTAGTTTTGTCATTTGTCTTTTTCTTTTGACTTTTTCCTTCTTTTTGGCTACTATCGCCCCGTCTAGCCCGCCCGGAGTCCCTCCTGCATGCAGCTTTCTGCGCTCTCCTCCCGTGTCAGTGAGCAGCTCCGGGCGCGCGCAGGTGTGCACCTCTGGCCGGGCCGCAGACCCTCCCCAAACCCCAAACCCTAAACCCTAAACCCTAAACCCTGGCCCCTAAACCCTGCGCCGCAGCCCACCAGAGGCTGTCGGCCCTCGCGCCTGCAAGCCGCTGAGGCTCCGCAGCAGCAGCAGCGCAGCAGCGCAGCAGCGCAGCAGCGCAGCAGCGCAGCAGCGCAGCAGCACCCCGGGCCGCAGGTGTACGTACACCCCAATTCCCAGCCGCCTCCCCGGCCCAAGCCACCAGGCTGAAGCCCATGGCAGCAGCAAAACTGCTGTTTGCTGCTCACCCCCCCAGACCGAATAATAGCCCCTTATAGCAACACTGTGGCTGTCACGATGCAGCAGCAGCTGCTCAAGAGTCAGCAGCAGCAGCAGCAGCAGCAGCAGGAAGCGTACGAAGCAGCTCACCCAGGCCCCGAGGACCGCCAGGCTGCCCAGCTGCGCCAGCAGGAGCAGCAGCAGCAGCAGCAGCAGCTTCAGCACCACCAGCAGCACTGGCAGCAGCTGCAGCTCCAACAACTCCAGGAGCAGCAGCAGCAGCAGCAGCAGCAGGTCAGCATTTTGCTTCCGCAGCCCCTGCAGAGCGGGCCTGTCCTTCAGCTGCAGCAGCAGCAGCAGCAGCAGCAGCAGCAGCAGCGTTACTGCCTCAACCGCTTAAGTGGCTTGGAAGCAGCAAACGCCAGGTACGGCCTTTTCTGCACAGGCGCTGCTGCAGCAGCAGTCGGTGACCCCGCAGCAGCAGCAGCAGCAGCAGCAGCAGGTGCAGCAGCAGCAGAAACTCTGTCCCCCCCAACAGCAACAACGCACTACAGCAGCACGCAGCAGCACCCTGCAGCAGAAGACCTGGAGGGGGCCTTTACTCCCCTAGCAGAGTCTGTGGGATCGTCTCCTCCCAGCCAGCAGCAGCAGCAGCAGCAGCAGCAGCTGCTTCTGCATGCAGCAGCAGCTCCCGAGCTTGACGCGGACGGGAAGAACACGAGTCTTCGGACCCTCCGGATTTGTCAGCAGCTCCAGCTGCTGCAGCAGCAGCAGCAGCAGCAGTTCCGGAGGAGCGTGACGCACCACCCGCAGCTGCAGCAGCTGCAGCAGCTGCAGCAGCACCTGCTGCACCGCGCAGCTGTCGAGCGGTCCCCGCTGCTGCTGCAGCACCAGAAGTTGGGAATTGATTCCGAGAGTCTCTTTTCCCCCTGCGCCATTGACGGCACTCCCCGATCGCTCCAGCAGCAGCAGCAGCAGCAGCAGCAGCAGCAGCGGCTGCAGCACAAGCGTCAGAATAGCTGCGAGCACATCAGTGTGGCTCAGCAGCAGCAGCTGCAGCAGCAGCATCAGCAGCATCAGCAGCAGCAGCAGCAGCTGGAAGCTTACGCTTCGGCTGCGCGCCCGCGTGCACTCGCGCCAGCGTCCCCAGCAGCAGGGGCAGCAGCAGCACTAGCCGCAGCAGCAGCAGCAGCAGCAGCAGCAGCTGCTGCAGAGCAGCAGGACCGCATGGGCTGCCGTCAGTCAAGTGGGCGTCCTTCGAGGGTCTCTTCGCCTCCGAGCCGGCCGGATGTGGCGGCAGCAGCAGCAGCAGCGCAGCAGCAGGCTGCTGCGCAGCAGGCTGCTGCGCAGCACGCGAAGCAACAGCAGCAGCAGCAGCAGCAGCAGCAGCAGCAGCAGCAGCAGCAGCACATAGGGTCCCGCCTGTGGCGCGGGGCCTCCGCTCCGAGCGGCGTGAGCGGCGGCGCTGCAGCGGGCTGCGCGCCCGCGCTGCCTGCGCCTGCTGCTGCTGCTGCTGCTGCTGCTGCGCAGCAGGCCCCCGCTGCCGCTGCTGCTGCTGCTGCTGCTGCTGCTGCTGCTGCGCAGCAGCAGCAAAGCCCGTACGTGGTGGTGCACCAGCTGCTGCCGTACTCGCCGCAAGGAGAGAAGGACTGCTTCTCCTCCTGCCGGTGGCAAAACCCGCGGCGCAGCAGCTGGGGAGACACTTCGACTTTGCTGCTGCAGCAGCCGCTGGGCAGCGGGGCCATGGGCCATGTCTTTCTGGTGGACTTGGGGGGGACTCCTTGTGCTTTGAAGCTCGCGCTGCAGTCGGATGCTGCTGCATGCATGTATTTGCGGCAGGGTTGGGAGAACTTGGTGCGGCTGGAGTGCCTGCATGCGCAGCAGCAGCTGCGCCGCAGGCAGCAGCAGCAAGCAGCAGCAGCAGCAGCGGCGGCGCCGCAGCAGCAGCAGCAGCAGACGCCGCCCGCGGGCGGCGCCCGCGGCGCCGCGCCGCTCAGCAGCAGCAACAGCAACAACGAGCGCTACTTCTGCCGCCCGCTCTGCTACCTGGAGGGCGACTGGTACTCCTTCCCGCAGCAGCAGCAGCAGCAGCAGCAGCAGCAGCAGCAGCAGCAGCAGCAGCAGGCGCGGCGCAGCAAAGTCTGCGGGTACGTGATGGAACACGTCCCCGACGCCTGCCAACTCACTGTCCTCGCGTGGCACTTCCACCGCAGCATAGATCCTTTGGGGACTTTGCGGAAGCAGCAAAAGTCCTTAGCAGCGCAGCGGCTGCTGCACCTTTGCTGCGAAGTCACCAAAGCTTTTGGCTTCGTAGCAGCAGAAGCAAACCTCTTTGCCTTCGACTTCAACCCCAAGAACGTCCTCGTCTCGGTCCAGCTGCCGCCCGAGCAGCAGCAGCAGCAGCAGCAGCAGCAGCGCAGCAGCAGCAGCAGCAGCAGCAGCAGCAGCAGCAGCAGGCAGCAGCAGAGCGCGGTGGAGCTGGCGCAGCTGGCGTTCCTGCACCCGCGGGCGCGGGTGCGCGTGGTGGCCATCGACCTGGACTGCTCGCTGGCGCCGCCGTTCTCTGCTGCTGCTGCTGCTGCTGCTGCTGCTGCTGCTGCTGACCCGCTGCTGCTGCACTGGGGCTGCGGCCGCCGCGTAGTCTACTCCTGCCCCCACTTGCCTTCGCTGCTTGCTGCTTATATTTTGGCTGTCTTGGCGAAGAGCCGCAAACTCTCTCAGTTTCTGCGGGCGGGTTTGCGGGAGGGCGCAGCACATGCTGCGCTGCTGCGGCGGCTGCGGGACCCCGCCAACTTCCTGCACTACTGCCAGCAGCAGCAGCAGCAGCAGCAGCAGCAGCAGCAGCAGCAGCAGCAAGGGGGGCTGCTGCTGAAGGCGGCGGGGGGGGCGGTTTCGCCGTGCTGCACCACTGCGGCGAACTCCACGCCCAGCAGCAGCAGGGCGCCCGCGTCGGCGGAGGCGGGGCCGCCGGCTGCTGCTGCTGCTGCAGCAGCAGCAGCAGCAGCAGCAGCAGCAGCAGCAGCAGCGGCACTCAGCTACCCCCCGAAAGAAGACCTTTTCCTCTACCCGCAACACAAACTCCCCAAAGATGTCCCCCTCAAAGACCACTGCAAGTACGGAGTGAGACTCAGCAGCAGCCACCCGCTGCTGCAGCTGCTGGCCTTCGTGCTGTGTGATGTCTTGGACGCAAGAAGCCTGCATAACATCTTCCTGCAGCAGCACCCGTTGCTGCTGCAGCAGCTGCTGCTGCCCACTGACGTGAACAAGTTGTTTTGCGAAAAGTCGCAGATCATTAGCTGCCTGTGTTTCTCCGCGCTCACGCGGCTGCAGAGCAACGCCGTGGCGCACCCTGCTGCTGCTGCTGCTGCTGCTGCTGCTGCTGCGGCTGCCGAGGCCGCCGCCGACGCTGCTGCTGCTGCTGCTGCTGCTGCTGCTGCCGCCGCCGCGCCCGCCGCCAGCGGCAACGCCGACTCCCGCCTGCAGCAGCAGCAGCAGGCGGCAGCAGCCACTGCTGCTGCCACCGCTGCTGCTACTGCTGCTGCCACTGCTGCAGCTACTGCTGCTGCCACCGCCCAGGCAACTGCTGCAGCAACCGGCGCCCCCCGCTGCTGCCTGCCGCGCCCGGACGCGCTGCAGCCCCACTGCAGCCCCGGGGGAACCCACCAGCAGCAGCAGCAGCAGCAGCAGCAGCAGCAGTTGCTGCTGCAGCTGCAGCAAGCCGACCGCCGCTTCGTCGTGGGCTGCAGCAGCAAACGCAGGTCCACCGGCCGCCCCGCAGAAGACGCCTACTTGGCAGCTCCTTACGACGCAGCTGCTCCGAATGCTGCTGCTGCAGTAGCTGCGAACGTCGCAGCATCAGCAGCAGCAACAGCAGCAGCAGCAGCACGCCCCGGAGGCATTGCTGCGCTCTCCATCTGGGAACGCCTCGAGCTGCTGCCAGCACTCACTCCCGCACAGTTCCTCCCACCCCCAGACTTGCTGGGAGCAGCAGCAGCAGCAGAGTTTGCTGCGCTGCGCTCGCTGCTGCTGCAGCTGCTGGACCCCCTGCCTGTCTATACACCCCAGCTGGGGCCCCCCAGAGAGGCCTATGCCACGCTGTCGGCTGCAATCGCGAGAGTTCTTAGCCGGCTTGAAAGTGACTGAGTTGCTGCAGCAGCAACTTTGCTGCTGCTGCTGCTGCTGCTGCAGCAGCAGCAACTTTGCTGCTGCTGCTGCTGCTGCAGCAGCAGCAACTTTGCTGCTGCTGCTGCTGCTGCAGCAGCAGCAGCAGCAGCAGCAGCAGCAGATTACCCAGGCCCCGTGTCCAGATTTAAAGGGCCTGGGCTCTGTACAGACAGGCCAGCTTCTTTGCTTCCGTACCCTGTAGATGTGCAACAACACCGCTCACTGCAGCAGCAGCAGCCCCTGCTGCTGCAGTGCTGCTGCAACGGCTGCTGCAGTTGCTGCTGCTGCAGCTGCTGCTGCTGCTGCTCCAGCTCTGCCCAGCTCCAGACAGTACTCAGCGACTCTGGGTTTGTTTTGGGTGGCGAACGTCCGTAGCCAGAGGCTTACTTATTTTTTAATCGGGGCTGTTTCTCCACAAACCCTAAACCCTAAACCCTAAACCCTAACAACAACCCTGGCAGGCCAGCCTAAACCCTAGAAAACCCCAAACCCTAAACCCTCAAGCCCGAACCAGCCGGTCTAAATAAACCCTAGAAAGGCTATGCCCTGCATCCTAGGGAACAGAAATGCCGAAACCCTAAAACGTCCAAACCCTAAACCCTAGGAGCCCTAACAGAAAAGCATAAACCCTAGAAAACCCTAAACCCTAGACCCTCTAGACCTCAGAAGGCCCGACGAAACCCTAATAAACCCTTCTAAATATTAACAACAAACCCTAGCACGAAAAACCCTCGTAAGCTTTGCCTAAACGCCCGCAATCCCTAAACCCTAAACCCTAACCCTCAAACCCTGCAAACCCTAAACCCTCGGGTGGCACATGCTTCGGCGGTTTTAACAGAATAAGCCCCGTAGATAAGTTTCGTTTAGGGTTTAGGGTTTAGTTCTAAGAAACCGCAGCAAAGCCAAACCCTCGTCAGCCCCCTAAACCCTCGTAAACCCTTGTAAAGCTAAACCTCCCTAAACCCTCCTAAACCCTTGCAGCTCTAAACCCTCTCAAACCCTCCTAAACCCTTGAAACCCTAGACCCTCCTAAACCCTCGCAGCTCTAAACCCTCTCAAACCCTCCTAAACCCTTCTGGCCCTAAGGCCTCCTAAACCCTCACAAGCATAAGCCTAGCAAACCCTAGTAGCTCTAAACCCTAGTGGACCTGAACCCTCGTAAACCCTAAACCCTCGAAATGTAAACCCTGATGAATTCTCCAGAATCTTCGTAAACACTTGCAAACCGTCGTAGTCTTGCAAACCCTCGCAAGTGCAAACCCTCGTAAACCCTCGTAAACCCTCTAAACCCTCGCAAACCCTCGCAAACCCTCGTAAACCCTCGCAAACCCTCGTAAACCCTCGTAAACCCTCGTAAACCCTCATGAGCACATCGGCCCTCCCAAGCCTTGAAATATGGCGCGTTCGCGGGCGGCCCAATAACTGACGGTTTGCTGCGCTGCTGCAGCAGCCAGCACTGACGCGCCGTTAGCAGCAGCAGCAGCAGCAGCAGCAGCAGCAGCAGCAGCAGCAGCGACCGTGGAGGGCAGGAAAGAGGGCCAAGGGATCAAAGGAGACAGAAAAAGGAGGCACCCAAACGGGGCAGCAAAATAAGAAAATAAAGAACTGAAAAGGGGAGAGAAAAGGACCCCAGCCCTGCCCTTTGCTGCTGCTGCTGCTGCTGCTGCTGCTCGTGACGACGACGCTGTTGCTGTTGCTGCTGCTGCTGCTGCAGTGCAGCACGCAATCGGCAGCAGCAACTAAAGCTGCATTCGACAAAGGATCCACAACAAAGCCTAACTACACAATCTCAACCAACCTCCAGCTTAGGCGGGGCCCCCCGGGGGGCCCCTAAGGTACCTAGAGGCCCCAGGGGGCCCCCGGGGGGCCTCTGAGGTATCTAGAGGCCCCAGGGGGGCCCCCGGGGGCCCCTGAGGCACCTAGAGGCCCCAGGGGGCCCCCCGGGGGCCCCTAAAGACCCCTGGGGTGCCCCCCAGGGGTCCCCCCGGGGCCCCTACGTCCCCCTGGGGGGCCCCCCGGGGGCCCCTAGAGACCCCTGGGGGCTCCCCGGGGGCCCCCGGGGGTCTTTAGGTGGCGCTGGGGGCCCCCGGGGGCCCCAGGGCCCCTCGGGGGTCCCCATTTCGTACCCTTTTTGAAGAGCAGTTCGAGGGGGCAGTCAGGGGGCCCCCGCAGTGGGATGGGGGCCCTGTGGGGGGGGCATCTGGGGGGCTGTGGGTATGTGGGGGGCCCCTAGGGGGAGCTGGGGGCCCCCCTGGGGGGCCCCCAGGGGGGCCCCGAGGGGGGCCCCCTGGGGGGCCCCCGGAAGGCCGGGGAAGGCGATGTGAGGCCCCGCGGCCGGCAGCAGCTGCGGCTGGAGGGCCGTTTGCTGCTGCTGCTGCTGCTGCTGCTGCTGCGGGTGCTGCGTGGGGAGGGCGTAGGCGGAGTAGAGGTCGCCTGGAGCTGGCGGCGCTGCTGCTGCTGCTGCTGCTGCTGCAGGGCCGAAGGGCGGGAAGTGCTGCTGCTGCTGCTGGAAGAGCTGCTGCTGCCGCTGCTGCTCGAAGGCCAAGTGGGAGCCCAAAATGCGCAGCAGCTGCTGCACTTGGGCCTTTTGCTGCCGCACAGCTTTCTTCGTGTCTTGGGCTTGCTGCACTGCTTGCTGCAGCGGCGCTGCATCAAACCTGTGGTTTTCGGGGAGAGCAGCAGCAGCAGCAGCAAGTTTTGCTGCTGCTTCGAGCAGCGCGTCGAGGGCGAAGGTGGACTGGCCCACTGCAGCAGCCCAGCTGGCAGCTTGCTGCTGCAGCTGCTGCAGCTGCTGCTGCGCCATCTCCACGGGGACTTGCATGCTGGTGACTCTGGCGATTTCTGCTTCGACTTGCTGCTTGAGTTGCTGCGCGCCGGCCTGGACTGCAGCGCGGAGGCCCGCTGCTGCTGCTGCGAGCTGCTGCTGCTGCTGCTGCTGCTGCTGCTGCAGCGCAGCAGCGCGGCGCGCCAGCGCCACCTCCAGCGCCGCCTGCAGCCGCTGCAGCAAACTGTCGCACAGCAGCTGCTTCGCCTCGAGAGCAGCAACAACATCTCGGAGATGAGCTTCTTGTGCTGCTAAGGAGACAGTTAGTGCAGCAGCAGTCTGCAGCAGCTGCTCGCCGACTTGGCGGCCGGAGGGGCCCTGCTGCTGCAGCAGCAAATGGCCCATGTGCTCCTCCAGAGAAGCAGCAGCAGCAGCAGAAGGGGCCTTGGCCTTGGCCTCCACTATGTCTGCATATCTCTCGGCCACTTGCTTATATTGCTCTTGTGCTGCTGCTGGCATTAAGGCCAAAAGGCCCTTTATTTCGGTGTGGCCGCGGCCCATTGCTGCTGCCAGCAGCCGGTTCCCGTTGCGCCACTGGCCGCCCGCGATCTTCTTCACCGTCCAGCTGCAGCAGCCCTGCTGCTGCTGCTGCTGCAGCAAGAACGGCTCGCTGCGAACAAGCCGCAGCAAGCGAGCGACGCGCAGCAAACCCTGCAGAAGCCACGGGCAGGGAGACCCGCAGCCGCCGCTTTTGCTGCGGGCAACGCTGCTGCTGCTGCTGCGGCAGCAGCAGCAGCTGCTGCTGCTGCTGCTGCTGAAGATGCAGCGCCAGTCGCCCTTACCCAGCGAGTCGAAGCAGCTCCCTCGAGAAGACAAAGAGAAGATGCTGCAGCGCACTGCTTTGCTGCAGTCCTGAGGGTCTCGGCCCGCGAGGGTTTAGGGTTTAGGGTTTGGGTTTTGCAAGTAAGACGAACGAGCCCTCTCCACCAAGCGCGCCAGCTCAGCTCCAGAATCCTGCAGCGCACAGCCGCGGCGGGCACAAAAGCTAGGGTTTAGGGTTTAGGGTTTTAAGTCAAAAAAGGCCCGCTCGCCGCTTTCAAGCGCTGCAACTTAGGGTTTAGGGTTTGGCTCCGGGGGTTTAGGGTTTGCTGGTCCGCTGCGCGCGGAAAGCAAATCGCCGCTCAAAAGCCGCAGCGAAATGGCGATCCTCCCTACCTTCAGCTTCGGGAAGGGTTTAGGGTTTAGGGTTTAGGGTTTAGGTTAATTCAGCTCTTAATAACAGAAGAACCACAGGATGTGCCTCCGTAACTGAGCCTGAGTAGGGATCGATCTGCCAGCACACGAGCTGCTGCTGCTCCCGGTAACCCCTGAGCCCTGAGCCGTAAACCCTAAACCCTAACCCTAAACCCTAAACCCTCAGCCCCAAAATTAGTTTACAATGTGTTTCCCGTTTTGTTTGCTCGCAAACAAGAGCCAGCGCCTTCATCTTTAGTCTCCCCTGCACCTCGTGCCGCTGCTGCCCCCGACCTCCCTGCTGCTGCTGCTGCTGCTGCTGCTGCTTTTGCTTCTGCTGCTGCTGCTTCCCAATTTTCAAGCCCTGGGCACAAGCAGCGGCTTAGTGGCTCTGCTGCGTGAGGGGGATCGAGTTGGGGTGTCTGTACACCCCAGCGCTCCCGCCTCCCCGCCCAAACGCAGCAACTCACCCAGAAACCTCTGCAGCAAATAACGACAGAGCCCCGCGGGCTTTGCTGCTGCAGCTCGGGGCCCTTGGCTTCAAAAGAAGTTTCCAGATGGGGCCTCCAGGGGCCCCTAGACAGCCCTGCCTCCCCCCCGCCAGACTTCAGGCAAGATCGGGGGGGCCCCCACCGGGGGGCCCTCCTCAGGGGCCCCCTGCAGCAAGAGAGGGGCCACACTTTGGGCGGGCAGCGGCGCCGCAGGGGCCACGGGAGCTCCGGGGGGCCCCCCGGGGCCCCTGGGGGCCCCTGAGGCCCTCCCCAGCGAGGGGCCCCCTCTGGGTCGCTGCCTCTGTTGCCTCATTGTGCCCTAAATGTGCAGTCAAGAGCTCTGCTGCTGAGACTCGAAAGAAGGCCCAGCAACCCCCAGCGAGGCCCAAAGGGGGGCCCCTCCCCTCGCGCACGCTGCACTGAAAGACTGGCTGTCTGGCAGCAGCTAGTGAAGCAAAGCCGCTTTAGCTATTCTGTAGATAAAGGCCTCCTTGAGATGCACAAGTATGGGCCTTCTCTGGCCCACTAAGCTGCCTGGAGGAGGCAATAGCCTTTCGCGGATTTAAATATAAACTACAGAGTATCTAGAAGCTATCTTATTCTCTCTTGCTGCACTTCACTCGCAAGCCACACTGCAGTGCCCGTAGTAGCTAGCTGGCTAGCTAGCTGTTCCTCACAGCTAGCTAGCTAGCTGTTCCTCTTCACCCAAAGCTTTCCAAGAGAGCCTCCCTGGGGCCCCGTGGGCAAAGCTTTGTTATAATAGTGCGAGCACTGCAATGCCGCTTGAAGCTGCTGCTCCCATGGCTGGCGAGCTGGCCGTCTTGTTCATATTTTCCAAAAGTGAGATCTGCGAGTGAGCCAGTGTGTGGGTTGCTTTTGCTGAAGTCCTTTGCGGACAGCTGGAGAGTAAAGCACAAGCATCCAAGCAATTACATTTGTGCTGCGATAGTACATTTAAACAAAAGCAATTAAATATACTCTCGCAGCATTTATGCTGCGAGAGTATATTTAATTGTTTATGTTCATCAACTCGCGCTTAACTTGTTACAGGCTCACGAGACTCGCGGAGATGGACTTTCGGGGCTGCATCTCGCTTCGGGCAATGCAAGATTGCGAGATTCTTGAGTTAGGGATGCTGCAATAAATTTATTAAGAGAGTAAAACCTTCCAAGACAGGATTGATATCCAAGAGGGCCCCACTCGGCAAGCCCCGTCAATTCTGTTTAAGTTGCTTCGGGGGATTTGTTCTTCTCGCACAATTACTTCTTACAGACATTCAAAGAAAAGGAATTGGTAGTCAAAATAGTACGGAGTCCTCGAAATCCAAATCCTCCGAAGTTGTCGGCTATTGGTGCTGAACAGAAGCACATGAGCACCCAATAAAAAGTGCAACATCTCTCACACATGCTGAGGCTTACAGCACAGCTAGCTGCCGGCCCAGCTAGTTGTTCCAAAATCTCTTCAAATTCGAATATGAAATTGGGCCTTTTCATGAAGCATGTGCGAATTGCGTAAAGCAATGTCTCGGAAGCTAGAGCAGCAGCTTTCCCCTCAAACTGCGCGATCACCCTAGGCAGTGCTACTAGAAGTGAATGAAAATCTCCTCAAGTCTTCGTGTATATCTGCAGAGGTTTCGTCTCCAGTTAAAGCAAGCTCTGATCGCTGCATTTCCCTTAACTGTGCAAGTAAAGTACTTATTAGTGGGAACGGCTAATATACTGCTTGATTCGGCGTAATTCTAATGAAATTTATTGCTTGCAGTGTCAGCACTGTAGCAACCAGTTTAAATTCGCATTTCGCCGAGTTCTTATACTCAAGCTTTCCTAGTTTCCGGTTTATCTTCTAAGGCAGCGTCGCACTGTTGGGAGGCTTTCGACTGCGACTGAAAGTGCAGGTTGACGGAGCTCTCGGGAGCTGCAAGCGAGATATCGTTTAAAAGGGCCCCGTGGCAGCTCCTTGGAAAGAGCTCTTGTATTTAAATAGGCATTCAGATGTTGGGAGCCATATTAATGCTACCTGTCTTCTCCCTTTGACTCCTGAGGGTCTATTTATTGCTTGCAGATAATCTCTACGCATATGTTGGCGCCCTAAATCTGGGTTACCTGAAAGGCTGAAGTGTCAATATTACTTTGCGGAGAGGACTTTCAAGAAAAAGAATAAAACTGTGACACAGTAGTGGCCTTTTCCGCCTCACTTCCCGGCGTAGCCACCAATCTAAACAGCTAGCTGCGATGCCACAAGGTAGCAAGAAAGAAGGCCGCGAGGGCCTATCGGGAAGTTCGTGAACCTACAAACTACAGTATAGCATGCTTTATCAGGAGAGACTAAAGAAATAGTTAGCAGGTAAGCACTTAAGCTTCCCCGAACGCTGCCAGCGAAGACTGTTGCACTGGTCTTCGAGATTCGGGCAGCTCTGGTGGCTCAGTGCTTAGAGGGGCTAAGACTGAAGACAGAAATAACACTCTCTCTGCATTAAGGGATTTTCAAGGCAGAAGAATCTGCAGAGAAAGCCAAGTTCGAAGGGAAGGGGAAACGAGGAGCGCTCAGTGCAGCAGCAAAAACGTGAGCGATGGCTTAACTGCCGTGCTAACTTTGTCAACAGAGAGGCTCCTGTACTGCAACTAACCTGGGTAGACACATAAGTTCTACCTACAGTTTAAAAGGACTCAGGGCCCTTGTTCTTTCCCTCCAGTCCTTTTATTAGCAATTTGCTTTTCCTGGGTCTCGGGCAATCGACTTTCCCACTGAGGCCTTTACAGAATTTCATATTTTCCCCATCAACAAGTGTTGGGAGTGTTTCTTCCAGCTCTATCCCTTCGCCGGCACTCAACCTCGGCTCTCCCGTGTGAATGTTATTATTGAAAATTGCGCGCATTATGAGCCTATGCAGCCTAATAGCTTTCTCCAAGCACAAGTGCTCAAGTGCTCTCAGTTCCAAAACTCAGTCTTCGCCTTCTTTTCTAGTCGAACAGGAAAAGGGTACTGGAAATAGAACAAAAAGGAGATGAAGTTCATAATTGCACGAAACACAAAGCGAGCCAGATGAGCCAAAAGAGCCAAGAGAAACAACCACTTTATTAGCCAGTTTCTATGGAGCCCAGGGGAGGTTCACGGGGCCCCTTAGTTGTTTTTTTGCTTCTGTTTTTTGTTGTTCTCTTTTGCTGCGTTTCTCGACTGGTTGGCTTACCTTTTTTCAATTATCCTCTATTTTTTTGTTTTTTTGCAATACTTTTGTTTTCCCTCGCTCTCGCTCCTGCAGGTCTAAACTCTCCGTCTCTTCTTTACCATTTTCTCTCTCTACTTGTTCAGTTGATCATTTGCTTTTTCTGCATTTTGTCAAGGCCTCTGTCCCCGTTTTCCTCTTCTTTGCTGCATCTGTAGCTGTTTGTCCCCTTTTGGGAAAATGCCTTTTCTTGTTCTTAATTCCAATTGCGCGAAATAAACAAACACCACCACGCGAAGAAGCGGGAAGCCCTCGGCAAATTAAATAATTTGTTTTCAAGAGTTTGCTGCTGTCTTTGTCTCCTTAGCCTGCCTTGAACTATTTAGTTGCTCCTGTTTCTTGTGGACTCGTTCACTTTTGTTTCTCTCTTTCAACTAATTTACTTATTCTCATATTGATTGTCCTGGGCATGCAGATTATATTAAACACATGCTTCCGTGTCAACTTTTAAAATCGTTTTTTTGCCTCCCTCAGTATCCTCTTCAATTTTTTGTCGCAGCTCGCTGCAGTTGCTTCGCCTTCCAGCCTAGCCCTTCGAGCGGCAACTGCCCGGAGCTACTTACTCTGCAGCTAGCCAGCTAGCTGCAGATAGCCGCAGCTAGCCACAGTTAGCTGCAGCTAGCTCTAGTTAGCCGCAGCTGGTCACAGTTAGCTGCAGCTGGCCACAGACAGCTGCAGCTAGCTGCAGCTGGCCACAGACAGCTGCAGCTAGCTGCAGCGAGCTGCAGTTAGCCGCAGCTAGCCACAGTTAGCTGCACCTAGCTGCAGTTAGCCGCAGCTAACTGCAGCTAGCCGCAGCTGCTGTGCTTCAGAGCTAACATAGACAAACTAGCTACAACGCATGGAAAGGAGGTTCCTTGGCAAACTGCAGGTGCGACTAGCTGCAGCTAGCCATAGCTAGCTGCAGCTAGCTACAGCTAGCCGCAGCTAGCTGCAGCTAGCTGCAGCTAGCTGTAGCTAGCTGTAGCTGACGTCAGCTAGCCAGCGCTAGTCGCACCAGATTATGCCATCCTACAACTCTCTGCAGCTAGCTGCAGAGAGTTGTAGGATGCCATAATATGGCTAGCTGCAGCTAGCTGCAGCTAGCTGTCTGTGAGTTGCTGCTCCACCTCGCTAGACTTAAAAACAGCAAAAGTCCATCTTAAGGCGCTAGACCCCAAACCCTAAACCCTAGACCGTAAACCCTAAACCCCAAACCCTAAACCGGAGAAGAAATGGGCTGAAGTTGCTGCAGCTAAGAGACATTATCTTTGCTTTTGGTCTCAGTCTGATTTTGGAATCACAGAGCGGGAACATAGCAGGCTCCTGTCTAGGGCCCCCGGGCGCGCTGTAGGCAGCGGCCCAAACCCTAAACCCTAAACCCTAAAAAAGGGTTTTCGCGGGAAAGGGCTCCGGGTCGCTCTAAACGCTCTGCGTTTGCTGCTGCTGCTGCTGCTGCTGCTGCTGCGCGCTGCGGGGAAGAGCAGAGGGGGGTTTGGGGGCCCCCTCAAGTCGACTTTACATGAAAGTTTCTCTGAGGGTTTAGTGCAACAAACGAGGGTTTAGGGTTTGCTCAAGAGTTGTCTGCTATTGCCAGAATGTTCATAAATATAATTATAATGTCCATGTAAAGAGTCAGCGCCGCAAAGATGTAGTCGTCCACGGAGTACTGGTAGCGCCGGTGTTTGCCCCCCACGACCAGCTGCGCACAAACCCTAAACCCTAAACCCTAAACCCTAAACCCTAAACCTTAGGCCCTAAACCCTCGGCCTTGAGCAGCCTCCGCAAGCAGCGCGAACAACGGCGCAGCGAATATCCACTCAAGGGTTTAGGGTCTAGGGTTTAGGGTTTGGGGCACATCGACGAGAGCTGCACAGCCAGCGCAACCCCGCGCCTGCAACCTGCTAGGGTTTAGGGTTTAGGGTTTAGGGTTTGGGACTTGCCTGCGTGTCGTAGACCAAAATCATGCAGAACAAAACTGTGGCGATGCTCGAGTAAACAAGATGAACAATTTTATTGTGGAAGAAAATGCTCAAGATCCCGAAGATCATGAGGCACAGCACCGCCACGAACAAGTAAGTGCCGCAGCCTGCACCGCAAACCCCAAACCCTAAACCCTAAACCCTAAACCCTAAACCCTAAACCCTGGGCCCTGAGCTCTGGGTGCTGGAGGGAAGAGGGGCTGGCAGAGAGGCTCTAGGCCCTGGCGCGTCACGCCCTCTGCACCCCCACGCCCACGCCCCCAAACCCTAAACCCTAAACCCTAAACCCTAAACCCTAAACCCTAAACCCTAAACCCTACCGGTGAAGTCGTATTTGGTTTGGCAGGCGAAGAGCATCAGGCCAACGACGACGACGAAGGTGGAGCCGATGGCAATTAAGAAACTTTGCCAAGAAGAAGCAGCAGCAGCACAAGAAATAAGAACGGCGTAGCAAGCAGTTATAAGAGTCATGAGAATAAAGTTCATTGGCACTTTTCGCGCCAAGTCCGGCACACAAACCAGCACTGCAGCAGCAAATCACAACAACCCCACCACCTCGATCGTCAGAAGCCCTTGCCCCGTGCTTCCTGCGAAAAAACTACGCTTTCACGAGGGTTTAGGGTTTAGGGTTTAGGGTTTAGGGTTTAGGGTTTAGGGTTTACCCAGCTGCAGCACCAAGCCGCACACTGCAGCAACAATTGCCAGCCAGTAGTTCTGCAGCAGAAAATTCCTCAGCGTTGGGACGAAGCCGAAGGCGGAGGCGATACCGAACGTGAACTGAAGCGCAGCCAAACCCTAAACCCTAAACCCTAAACCCTAAACCCTAATTTCCAAACCCTCAACCCCCACCCTGCACTCCGCAGCAACCTGGCAAGAGGCGGCTCTCTGTCGCGTCCACCCAAACACTTGCAGCGGCTCGGGCCGGCCCGAGGCCTCCCAGTGCGCAACCTAGGGTTTAGGGTTTAGGGTTTAGGGTTTAGGGTTTACGAGGATCTGCACGGCGAGAATGCCCAAAACCTTGCGGACAAAGGCGTGGCGAATCTGCACACTAATGTGGTCTGTTATTTTTGTGTCATCGGAGGGGGGTGGAGGTGACCCCATTTCCATGGATCCAGGAGCTGCAGCAAAACCCCGCAGATTCCGCAAATTTGCTGCTGCTGCTGCTGCTGCTGCTGCTGCTGCAGCTGCTGCTGCAGCTGCTGCTGCTGCTGGCGCTGAGGGTGCGCTGGCTGCGGCGAAAGCGGCGGCGGGCAGCCGTTCTTCGCAGAAAGACACCCCGCGCGGCAAGCCCAAACCCTAAACCCTAAACCCTAAACCCTAAACCCTAAACCCTAAACCCTAAACGCTCACTCGAGCCAGCCGGCTTGCCGTAAACTGGAGAGGGGCCCCCACCAGCAGCAGGGTAGGCCGGGGCCACTGGAGGGTACGGAGGGGCCATACCCCCGTAGGGGCCCCCACAAGCAGCAGGGTAGGGGGGCCCCCCATACTGGGGCCCATACTGGGCCCCATACTGGGGCCCATAGGGGGGGGGGGCCCCCGGGGCCCCGTAGCCCGGGTACCCCCCGGGGGCCCCGTAGGCGGCCGCGGGGGGCGGGGGGCCCACAGCGTACAGCTGGGGGCCCCCCTGGGGGCCCCCCGGGGGCCCCCCAGGGGCCCGCTGGCCCTCCGCTGCAGGGTACTGCTGCTGGCTGGGGCCCTGGTATTGAGCCATGCTGGCTGCTGCTGCTGCGCTGGGGTGAATAGAGAGCTGGGCGAGGCTGTTGGCGTTGGACGCAAACCCTAAACCCTAAACCCTAAACCCTCGGCTCTCCGCGAACAAGCGTGAAAAAAGAGGGGAAGCAAGTGGCAGGGTCTCTCGCGAGGAGCGAGCGCTTTCCACTACACCACGCCGCAACCCGAGCCCTAAACCCTAAACCCTAAACCCTAAACCCTCCGCCGAGAGCTGAAGTCTTCGAAGATGCGCTGGAGCTCTACTGTCAATAAAAATGAAATACTGGTGCCGGTTAACTGAACAACTAAAGCGCAGTTGCAGCAGCAGCAGCAGCAGCAGCAGCAGCGGCAGCTTGCTGCTGCTAACACTGGCAGCTCCAGCCAGCACGAGGGTTTAGGGTTTGGGGCTGAGGTTTAGGGTTTACGGTCTAAGCTGCTGCTTTTCTGTCTATCTTTTTCTTCGTCTTCGCTTCCTCCACAGCACGCAGAATCCGTATTTTTGCCGCAGCTGCTGCTGCTGCTGCTGCTGCTGCTGCTGCTGCTGCTGCTGCTGCCCGCCTGTCCTGATCTGTCGGCGGGCCCCCCTCTACTTTCCCACTCATCTTGTCTCTGTTATGAGACAGCAGAAATAGACGTGGCGAGCACGGGCAGGTTACAGTTGCTGTTTAGCTGCTGCTGGGGAGGATGCAGCAGCAGCAGCAGCAACAGCAGCAGCAGCAACGGCAGCAGCAGCAACAGAAGCAACGGCACCTCCAACCTCCAGCACACACGACAGCAGCAGATGGCGCTGCTGCTGCTGCTTCTGCAGCCATAAACAGCAGCAGCTCTGCCGCCGGCCAGCAGCTGACCAGAAGACACCAAGCTAGGCCTGCTCAGAGCAGCAGCAACTGCAGCAGCAGCAACTGCAGCAGCAGCAGCTGCAGCAGCAGCGATTGCTCTGCAGCACAGTTACGCCTGGATCTTCGTGAGCGTTCTTTTGACTCATACCTGCCGCTCAGCAGCAGCAGCGGCAGCTGCAACTGCTGCTGGCAGCAGCAGCAACAGCAGCAACAGCAGCAGCAGCAGCAGCAGCGAACACCGCGAGCAACGGGCGCTGCTGCTCTGCTGCAGCGCGCTTGTCTTGTCCTGCTGCTGTTCATATATATCTGCTGCTCGCTTGCTGCTTGTGCCTTCCGTTTGCTGCTGAGGGGCTTTAGGGCTATAGTTCCGACACGCCAGCAGCAGCAGCAGCAGCAGCAGCAGCAGCAGCAGCTGGCTGCTGCAGGGACAGGAAGCACCCTAGCTCGGGGAGCTGCAGAAGCAGCAAAAGCAGCTGGCGCTGCAGCAGTTGCTGCTGCAGCGCCTCCCCACTTGTTGATTGTTTTTAGCAGCGACGAGCTGCTGCTGCTCCTAGCGGCCGAGAGGCTGCGTGCTGCTGCGGCTGCTGCAGCAGCAGAAGACCCTGAAACGGCAGCAGCAGCAGCAGCAGCAGCAGCAGATAGCAGCAGCATATGCGTTAAGGAGCTGCTGCTGCCTGCTGTTGTTGCTGCTTTTGCTGCGGGGCTGCGGCACCTTACCTTCAGTGACGCCCCGGGCATATCTGCACTGCAGCAGCACAAGCAGCAGCTGCTGCTGCTGCTGCAGCAGCTGGGCTTCGAGACTTGGGAGCAGATTTCAAACCAGCAGCAGCAGCAGCTGCTGCTGCTGCAGCAGGAGCGGTGCTGCTCCCCCCTGCAGCAGTTTCCGCTGCCGCTGCATTCCCCTACGGCAATTTGTGTTCGACGCCGGCAGCAGCAGCAGCAGCAGCAGCAACAGCAGCAGCAGCAGCAGCAGCAGCAACAGCAGCAGCAGCAAGATGACAATGATGTGCTTCAAGTTCGGTTTTTATGTGGCTGCAACGGGCTGCTAGAGCTGCTTAGCCTGTACGCAGCAAATCGTCTGCTGCCAACCAGCAGCAGCAGCAGCAGCAATAGCAGAAGCAGCAGCAGCAGCTACTGCTGCAGCAGCATCAGCGGCTCGCGGTGCAGCAGCAGGAGCACAAAGAGCTGCTGCTGCGGCAGCGACAGGCTTATCAGCAGCTGCCTGTGCTGCTGCAGTGGCAGCAGCAGCAGCAGGAGCAGCAGCAGAGACTGCAGCCCGTCGCGCAGCAGAAGCATGAGCCACGATGCTGCAGCAACAACCAGCAGCAGCAGAAGCAGCGAAAGCAGCAGCAGCAGCAACGGAGACACTCCTCGCGAGTGGCAGCAAACTAGCACCTGCAGCAGCACAGCATGCACGGCGGCGCTGCAGCAGCTTCCTGCTGTTGCTGCTGGTGCGGTGGAGCAGCAGGACTGCAGCAGCAAGGCCCGCAGCAGCAGCAGCAGCAGCAGCAGCAGCAGCAGCAGCAGCAAGTACACGCTGCCCAGCGAGGACGTGATTAGCGCTGCTGCACTGTACAGACAGCTGTCCGCAGGGGGCAGTTTTCCCTTTCCCCGTTGTTTGCTGCGGGCGGAGGTGCCGCTGCTGCTGCTGCTGCGGACTGCAGCAGCAGCAGCAGCAGCAGTCCTCGCTGCTGCTGCAGCCCAGGCGGCTCGGCGCGTAGCAAGGGCCATCAAGCCCGCATTTACCCCAAACCAGCAGCAGCAGCAGCAGCAGCAGCAGCAGCGGCAGCAGCAGCAGCGGCAGCAGCAGCAGCGGCAGCAGCAGGAAGCCAGCACGGCCACGCTTCGCCAGCTGCTGCAGCAGCTGCTGCTGCTGCTGCAGCTGCTGCTGCCGGCCTTTCTGCGGCGGCTGCAAGAAGAGCTGTCCCCTTTCGGGTGTCTGTCTCCTTTTTCTGCATGCAGCGTCCCCCCGTTGCTGCTGGCGGAGGCAGAGCTCTTTGGCCGCCGCGTGCAGCAGCAGCAGCAGCAGCAGCAGCAGCAGCAGCAGCAGCAGTGGCCTCAGAGGGACCCAAGCCTGCTGCAGCAGCAGCTGCAGCAAACAGGGAACATGGCAGCAGCAGTTGATTCTGCTCTACTGGCTTTCACGGGGAGGCACCTGCGGCTTGGCCGGTGATAGATACGCCTGCTGCTGCTGCTGCTGCTGCAGCTGCTGCTGCTGCAGCAGCAGCAGCAGGCGCAGCTATCAGCAGCAGCAGCAGCTGCTGCTGCTGCAGCGCCGCTGCAGCGCCAGCACTGGCTCCGTCCCTCGGGGTGTACGTACAGCTGCGCGCCTTTTATGCAGCAAAACCAGCAGCAAACTTTCCTCCGACTCTTCACTATTTATTTTCATTAATACTTTTAATTATTATTATTATTATTATTATTATTATTATTTTATTATTTTATTATTTTATTTTCATTTTTGTTTTAATTATTTGTTTGTTGCTGCTGCTGAGCGGCGCACGGCCGTCAGGTGTACAGACACCTCAGACAAAAAACTGTCGAGCCTATAGACGCCCAGCTCTTTGCAGCAGCTGCTGCTTTGCTGCTGCAGCAGCTGCTTTGCTGCTGCAGCAGCTGCTTTGCTGCTGCAGCAGCTGCTTTGCTGCAGCAGCAGCTGCTTTGCTGCAGCAGCAGCTGCTTTGCTGCTGCAGCAGCTGCTATGTTGCATCAGCTGCTCTGGTGCTGCGACAGCTGCTCTGCTGCAGCAGATGCACTGCTGCAACAGCTGCGTTGCTGCAACAGCTGCTCTGCTGCAGCAGCCGCATTGCAGCAGCAGTTGTTCTGCTGCAGCAGCTGCGTTGCTGCAGCAGCTGCTCTGCTGCAGCAGCTGCTCTGCTGCAGCAGCCCTAGCGGCAGTTGTGGCTGCTCTAGAAACCGGCCCATCCACTGGCTGCCGTTCGTGCTGCTGCCGCTGCTGCTGCTGCCACTACTACTCCGCTGCTGCTGCTGCTGCTGCTGCTGCTGCTACTGCTGCTGCTGCTACTGCTGCTGCTGCTGCTGCTGCTGCTGCTTATTTGTTGGTCCGCTGGCGTATGACTGCGAGGTCCTGCTGGAAGCGCCAGTGGCCAGTCCAGCCAGTTTTTCTTAAGTCTAGGAAAGACCTTACTGGCAGGGTCCAGCGGGGAGCAGCAGCAGCAGCAGCAGCAGCAGCAGGAGCTGCAGCAGCAGCAGCAGCAGCAGGCTCTGCGGCTCCGGGGGCACGCTCTGCTGCTGCGCGCAGCTTCTCTATCGACAGCATCTCCGCGTCGGTCTGCAGGTAGCAAACACATGGCCACACGCATGCATTTGCTGCTGCTGCTGCTGTTGCTGCTGCTGTTGCTGCTGCTGCTGTTGCTGCTGCTGCTGCTGCTATGCTAAAGCGGCAGTGCAGGCGGGAAGCAGCAAAGAGCCGAAAACACAAAAGGGGGTTTGAGAAATCAGAAGCAGCAAGACACCGGGCAGCAACAGCAGCAGCCCAGCAGCTGCAGCAGCAACAGCAGCTGCAGCAGCAGAAGCAGCTGCAGGAACACCAGTCTAGCCCCAACAACAGCAGCAGCAGCAGCAGCAGCAGTCTAGCCACAACAGCAGCAGCAGCAGTCCAGCCACAACAGCAGCAGCAGCAGTCTCGCCACAACAGCAGCAGCAGCAGTCTCGCCACAACAGCAGCAGCAGCAGCAGCAGCAATGCAGGCCCACTTGTTTGATGTACTGCAGCAGCAGCAGCGGGGGAAAAAGGGGCCACATGGTGCGGCAGAAAGTTCCTGTCTTTATGACAGCAGCAACAAATTGGGGAGAAAGATTTCTATATTTGAATCTCATGGCGAAAGAGAAGAAGCAGCGCAGCGGGCTGCGTCGGTTTGCTGCTGCTGCTGCTGCTGCTGCTGCTGCTGCAGTGCCCGCTGCTGCAGCTGTGCCTGCTGCGGCGTATGAAGAAGACGCATTCGCAGCTCCTGCTGCAGCGCTCATTGCTGCCTCCGCAGCAGCAGAGGGAGATGCTGCTGCTGCAGTCATCTTCAGCGTGCTGCCGCCGCTGCTGCTGCTGCTGCTGCTGCTGCTGCTGCTGGGGGGATTAGCCGTTGGAAAGCGCAGGGATGCAGAGGTTCCGAGGCTAGTGTGGAGCTTGAATAACCCGCAGCAGCACCTGCTGCTGCTGCTGCTGCAGCAACACACCAGCAGCTGCTGCTCGCTGCATGCAGCCCCGTCTCTGACCTACGGGGGCCCCTGGGGGGCCCCCCTCCACCCTGGGAGTTTAGTGGCTGCGCGTTACCCTCTTTTTCAATTTTAGATTAAATTTATTATTTTAATTCTGCTTTTATTTCACAAGATCCTCCGCAGCAGGGGCTCGCGGGGCCCCGAGGCCCCAAGTGCTTCTTGCTGCGCTGCAGCACAAGACAATGAGTTCCTTCCGCAGCAGCTTTATAAGGAATGGAAGTTTTGCTGCTGCAGCTGAAGCCTCTGTGGCTGCTCCTGGGCCGCAGAGGCTCTAGCTGGTCTTGGGATTTAGCAGCAGCCAGCTGCGAAGGCCGAGGGTTTAGGGTCTAGGGTTTAGGGTTTAGGGTTTAGGGTTTGGGTAGTCTGCTGCTGGCCAATACTGGGAGTGAACACCCACACACTGCCTATGGGCTTATAACAGAAGGCAGCAAAAGTGGCTCCAGAGTTTTTCTCTGCGGGGTTTAGGGAGAAGTGACCTTGGGGGGCTAAGTGCTTGGCCATTAGCCCAGTTTCTTTGTTTTTTTAGTTTGTTTTTGTTGTTTTTTGTTTTTTAATTTGTTTTTGTTGTTTTTTGTTTTAAATGTTTTATTATTTTCCGCTTTTAAACGAATTGCAAGCTCTGGCATGAAAAGGCCGACTTCAGGGTTTAGGACCTCTCGGTGGTTTTGGCAAGTGCAGCAAATGTGAAGCTTCGCAGCCTCGAGTTGTTCACGTTTTTGAAATTATTGAAAGATCATAGACTGTGCAGTACTGCTCCAATTGTCTTATATGTTTGTATATTATAGCCTGTGCAGCGCTGCTGCAATTGGCTTCCTATTGATGCTACTCTTGAGGCTTTTGCTGCAGTGCATGCAATTTTCGATGGTGCTTAAATTGCTTCTTTTGGTGCTTTAGCACTACTTGAAGAAAAGGAATTAGTTTGAAGTTCCTCTTCCAAATAAATAAGTGATTTTGAATCCGTGGCTTGGGTCCAGCCAAATTCTTTTAGTGCTATTTCTCTTTGTTTCTACTGGTTCCAACTGAGCTGCTCAGAGTGCACACTCTATAGTACCTTTAAAGCCTCTTTTCAGTCAATGTCTTCAATTCAGCTTCTGTTACATCAAGTCAAACTCTGCTTCAGCGCGCACCAGCTCCATTAAGTTACCTTTTAGCCAGTGCGCCAGATTGGGGAAGTTCTCATCTCTTGTTCATGGCGCCATAGACATCAGGAAAGCGTTTTTAGGTAGCTGTGCAGACAGCAGCCGGCGCTGCGGCCGCTGCTGTAGCTGCAGCAGCAGCAGCAGCAGCAGCTACAGCACCAGCAGCAGCAGCTGCTGCTTAGCTTACGCTGCGCTGCAGAGGTGTTCGTTGAAACAACTCCATTCGAATGCTTCTCCCGTAGCAGAAACTCTGGCCTCCTGGGGTCTTCAGTCCAGGGTTTTTTACCTCCCAAGACTTCGTGAAGGCCGCAGTTTTCAAACCCCCGCCACCTCAAGCCCATCAGGCAGCAAAGTGAAAGAATTTGGGTCTGGAGTTGAAGAAAACTTGTAGCTGCTGCCACCTTCCCTGCAAATGAGGGCCTCAGTGCACGTGGCGGCTGTCCTATTTCGTGCGCGTGCAGAAAAGAACACTTAGTGCGCAGTGCCTAGATATATAGATATGTATATATATATATATATAAGCCTTATGTATACCCCGTCAAACGGCATTAACTAACTTTTGTTTGCATGGCGTATGTTGCTGAACTGGGGCTTTTGGATGGAATGCGTTTCGCTGGCAGTGGGGGAAAAATTAGCCTCGGTCCTTTCAAATTCGCGAAATGAGAAGCTTCCTCGCTCTCACCTGTCTCACCCGTTCTCTTCTCCTTTAACTTGCATTTCCTGTTATTGCTCCTTCGGCATTTTCACTCGCTTCTATTTCTGTCTACTTTGTTTATTTCTTTCCCCTCTGCTAACCACGACATGCGCGGCTGGGCCGCATTTCCAGGCCTCTTTGCTATTTCAGAACTTCTGCTTCAGTTACTTAGCCTCAGCTCAGTGAACTGCCTCCGTCTCAGCGGAGAAGGCTTGCCGCTCCGTTTTAGGAGAAACCGGCCAATTATTTGTAAGCTCCGCGCGACTCTAGCGGGAGAAGTCCCAAAGACTGCAGCTTGGGGCATTTAAAACAGTAGCAGAGGCTCTACAGCCACTGGCCTAGTTTGTTTTCTTCAGCAAGAGAAAAATTATCTTTTGAAAATTTTCAACTGTTGGCCATCTTGTCCCTGGAGCAGCACTACTTGCGTGACTCAAGTGAGAAAAGAACGTCTTCTGCTTTGGCCTTGTTGACGGCCACAGCCAACTCAGGCACTTCACGAAAAATAAACTTTCCGAATTGCCACTTTTGCCACCCCACGCTGAATTCCATGCTGTTAGCGGTGCATAAGAAAGCCAAGAATTCATCTTGTTTGTCTTGAGCTGCGACAAGCATCTCATTGCTGCGGCTGCCTCAGGAAAGATATTTGAAGTGTTTGTTAATTGCAGCTCCAAAGCTCACTTGAGAGGCTCAGGCTAACTATCTAAAAAGCCCGCCAAGTCATCGCTCGCATGCAGCCCCACAGCTTGCTGGGGATTTAGCTATTCTATTATTTCCCATCTAAGGCTTCTGCTCCCCTCAGATAGACTGAGAAGTCCGCTGGTGGCGCGCTGTGTCGAACACTTACTGGGCGGAGTTCCACGGAAGAGTACAGCCTCTTACTTGCGAAAAAAGCGACTCCATCTTAATAATAATGGCAATCATGAGGGTGAAAATGTCAAGAGTTAGACTAGTAATAGTATTTTCATCATAATTCGCTGCTGTTTTGTGTGGGGGGGCTCGCAGTTCTCCTGATTTTGTGATGCTCTTGTTGCTCCACAGAGCGCGTTTGCTCCAGGATCCCTGCTAAGCATTTGCCCCTTTGCCAATTGCCTTTGCCAAATAAATGACAAGCACTCAGTCTGTAGACTCAATAGTAAACTCGCTTAGTTCTATTCCACAAACTTCGCTGCATGCACTACCCGTCCAGCCCCACAGCAGCTCCTGCTGTGGCAGCCTCTGCATCCTTACGCCGTTTTAGTATTATAATTCGACAATGAAAGATTAGCTGCGGCCTCTGAAGCTTAAGGATCCTGTGTGACTTCCGGGCACACCTGAAATTACTTTGTTTCAAATTTACGTTGGAGCTCGAGTAGGTCATTCAGTTGAAAGCCTCAGGGCAACAAATAGAAAGAAAGTGCAATTAACGGATTTATCCAATTGTCGTTCTGATAAATTGTTTTGTCATTGCCTTTATACGTATATAACTCACTTTCCAGTTGTATTTAAGAGTGAAACGGAAAATGCCTAAGCTCTGGAGATTTTTGCAAATTGGCCTTTTCATTTGGCCTTTGTGGAACTTTAATTCTGCTTTGAACACAACGCCTCAGCAGGCCAGAACAGTTTGCTTCTGGGCACATCAGCTTTGCTGGATGCCGAGGCAGAGCTACAAGTCCTGGATTTCCTTTTTGAACAAAAACAAACTTTTCATGAGAGCTTTTGAAGATATCGGGAAGAACATCTTTGTTACTAGCGGCCTCCAGTGGGCTCGGTGCCACTATGCTTATCTTTTTCTTGGAAAAGTGCCGGGCTCAGAGAAAGCTGCTGAGGGGTCAGCTCTACATTAAGTTTGAAAAACTAAATTCGAAGAAAGATAAAGTGGTCTAAGCTCCCTTCACTCCATGTACACCTTCTGTAGCATCAGTAATATCCAGCAGACATGCAAAAGTAATTTGTTTTTAGCGTTCAAGTTTCAAGACACTCGCAGTGACTTAGGAAAAAGCAATTCTTTTCTCACTGGAGGGTTCATATTTTACGAAGTGTTTCCTAATCTCTCTAAAGAAAAGCCAAAGTGCATTTAAAAGAGGGGAGGAAACAATTAGCTGAACAGAGTTGTGGCAATTGCTGCTTCCTTTTGTAATGCAACGGGAAGTTCTATCAGAGAAGAGGCAGCAACAATGGTGTGCAGTTGCTACTCCGCCCCTGAAGTATTCGAAAACAGCAAAAGCCATTTATTTAATATCTCTTGCAGCAGAAATAAAGCTGCGGGATATTTCTGCATGCACCGGCTGACTGCATGCAAGTGCTGCTGTTCGCCAGGGCCTCTCAGCACTACGGGGGCCTCTGGGGGCCCCCAGAAGAGGCTCTTCAAAACTTCATCAGAAAAAAAGATTGGCAGCAGACAAAATAGAATACTTCACAACTATGCGAGTCCACATGCATGCAGAAGAGCCCTTCAGGGGATAGCCAGCAGCTCGAAAAATCGTGCAAACTTATTTCCGAAGTGTTTGTTTGTGTTTTTAAAAAGACTAAAAGAGCAGCAAAAGCCACAAAGAAGGGCCCCTGAAACTTTTGCTGCCTCAGTAAAAGCCCCGTTGCTGCAGCTGCAGCTCACAGCAGCAAGACAATCCAAGTGGCGCTGAGGCAGTTGCTGCTGCTTCCGAGCCCCGCATGCACTTCTGGCTGCAGCTGGCGCCAGGCGTAACCCGTAGCTGTCTCAGCCCTGCTGCTGCTGCTGCAGCCGCTGCTGCACTTGCTGCTGCTGCTGCTGCTGCAGCAGGCGCCCTTCAAGGCCCCTGGAAAGGGTTTCTATACGTAGCTTTACGTGCTGCTGCTGCTTCCCAAGCAGCTGTGCCTGTGGGGGGCCCCAGTAGGGCCTTGCTGCTCTAGGGGGCCCCCCGGGCTTCAGGGGGGCCCCCGGACTGTAGGGGGCCCCCGGGGCCCCTCGACTTGAAGGGTTAACTAACAACACACCTAAGCTGTTAACTAGCAGCTGCTGCGCTACAGTGCAGCAGGGGGGCGCAGCCTTGTGTCTAAGGTAGCAGCAGATGAGTTTTTCTTTGGTTTTACCTCTTTAGAGAAGTTAAGAAATAGTCTTTTAATGGCAAAGAGGACAAAGACTGAAGCAAGTGCAGCTGCAGACACTGCTGGCGGCGAGGAGTTTGCTGCGTTGGGGGCCTCGTGTGCTCAATTTAGGCTGACTAGGGCTTACGGCTCGAGGTCTAGGGTTTAGGGTTTAGGGTTTAGGGTTTAACAGGGCCCTCAGCTGCTGGGGCGGACGGGGGGCGGCTGCTTGCCTCCCTGGGCTGTCTGCCGCTGCTGCTGCTGCCAGTGCTGGTGTTGCTGCTGCTGCGCAGATGTCTTTGTGACGCAGGCAGCAAAGAAATAAGTGTAAGTGGAGCACAAAAAAGGGAGGTGGGTTCGGGGGCCCGGAGGGTTTAGGGTTTAGGGTTTAGGGTTTAGGGCTGAGGGCTGCTGCAGTGTGTGTCTGAGCGACCCCACCGGCACTGGGGGGTGCACCGTACAGACTGGTGCTGCTACTATTGCTGCGCTGCAGCAGCTAATTGTAGTATGTGTTTGTTGCATTAGCTTCGTATTAATGGAGAGGCTGTTGCTGCTGCAGGGGCCGCCGCACCTCTGGCAGCAGCAGCAGCAGCAGCAGCAGGGCCCCCCCCTGTGGCCTTCCCGCTGCATTTGAGTGCGCCTGATATTTGCCTGTGTGCCTCTTCTCCCACATTTGTAAACTTTTATTTTTCTTTTTTTCTTTCTGTCTTGGGGTGTCTCTCAGCTCCGAGTCCGTTGACTGCGCCCTGCTGCTGCTGCGGCGCCAGCAGCAACTCCCGCTGCCACCTCTGCGCACCAGCAGCAGCAGCAGCAGCAGCAGCAACCGCAGCAGCAAGATCGCCCGCTCTAGGGCTTGCTGCCTTGTGTCGCTGCTCCGCGCCTGTGCGGGGCTCGTGCTGCAGCGGGGGCCCTCTGGGGGTGGATCAGCGATCTGCTGCAGCTGCCTCCACTGCCGCAGCAGCAGCAGCAGCAGCAGCAGCAGGCGGATCAGCAGCAGCAGCTGCAACCGAGCTCATTTCTGCTTGCGCTCAACGGAAACAGGCAGTCGCCTGCAACAGCTTTGACAGCAGCAACACCCGCACCAGCGGCACCAGAGGCAGCAGCAGCAGCAGCAGCAGCAGCAGAACTAGCAAAGTTGCCTGCGCTGTGTCGCAGCAGCAGAAATGGAGTCGCAGCAGCCACAGCCGCAGCAGCCGCTGCACCAGCTGCCGCTGGGCATCCCAGCTGCAGTGCTATGCCCGCCTCTAATTTGTCCAGAGATGAGCAGCAGCAGCAGCAGCAGCAGCAGCAGCAGCAGCAGCAGCAGCGACAGCAACGGCGTGCTGGCTGCGCCGGCTGCTGCTGCAGGCGTGGCGGTGGCAGGAGGTGCAGCAGCAGCAGCAGCTGCGGGCCCCGCAGCAGCAGTAGCTGCTTCTCTGGCTGCGGGCGCCGAGCCGGGCGCCGCAGCAGCGGCGCTCCCAGCAGCAGCAGCAGCAGCAGGCGGAGAAGCAGCAGCAGCAGCAGCAGCAGCAGCAGCAGGATTCAAAGGCGCAGGGCTGCCGCCTTTGGGGGAGGCCGAGCTGGAGACGGACACAGGCCCGTGCAGCAGCAAGCCGTCGGAGGGGGGTTTTGGCTCGGAGCCGTTTGCTGCTGCTGCTGCTGCTGCAGCAGCAGCAGCAGCTGCTGCACCGCCGCCAGTGCTGGGCAGCTCCTGCTGCCTCGCTGCAGCAGGAGACAACGCAGAGAGAGACAACGGGGGGCTGCTGCCAGAATCCTTCTTCGATCCTGCTGCTGCTAATAGTCCTTCTGCTGCTTCGGATGTGCAGCAGGGGGGCCCCCAGTTGGGGGGTTTTATATCTCATGGGTACAGCGAGACCCCAGCAGCAAACTCTCCCGTGGCAGCAGGGGGCCCCTTTGCTGCTGCTGCTGCTGAGGGGCTCTTTGGCCTTCGCGAGGGGCAGATCTTCGCGCTGCAGCAGCAGCAGCACCTGCAGCAGCAGCTGCCCGCCGCCAGCCCGCAGCAGGTCCAGCCCTTCCTCCCCGCTGCCGTTGCTGCAGCAGCAGCAGCAGCGGGAAGGAGAGCAGCAGTCAAGAGGGGCCCCTCCCAGGGGCCCTCTTGCTTGGCTGCTCGAATGATGGCAGCAGAAAGCATAAGACAGACGCGGGCGCTCAACGCTGCTGCTGCTGCTGCTGCTGCTGCTGCTGCTGCTCCTGGCGGGGCCGCAGCGGGAGCAGCAGCGGCGGGCTCGAGCTGCAGCGCGGCGTTTCCGAGCTGCGGGCGGCAGCAGCAGCGGCGCGCAGCAGCAGCAGCAGCAGCAGCAGCAGCGGAGGAGCTGCAGGGGAGCGAGGAGGCGGGGAGCGGCGTGGAGGGCGAGGAGGGTGGGGACCCTGCTGCTGCTGCTGCTGCTGCTGCTGCTGGGGGCTCTTCGGCTTCCTCTGCAGCAGCGCAGCAGCAGCAGCAGCGGCTGCGGGGCTCGCGCGCAGCAGCAAAGAGCAGCGTGCGCGTGAGTCGGTTTGCTGCTCTCCGGCGGCGGAAGGAGCGGCGGCAGTGGGGGCTGCGGCGGTCCGGCGCAGCAGCAGCAGCAGCAGGAGCAGCAGCAGCAGCACAAAGTGGTTTGGCTGCAGCGCAGCGACGTCAAGGGTTTGCTGCCGC